GCATATTATACAATTCACACATCTCTTCAGGTAACTCCCTGATCTCATTACTAGACAAGTCAACATGCCTCAGGTGTATCAACTTTCCTATGTTGGATGGGACTTCTTCTATTCCACAGCTTGACAACTTCAATGTTCTTAGACAACTCAAATTAGCGATTAGTTTAGGTAAGGCTGCATTCATCGATGAAGGATAACCATCAACAATCAGGCTGCGAAGCTTTTTCAAACTATGGATGGTCGCAGGTAAGGGGTCGGTCTTATAATTTCTAAACACTACCATGGAGTGTCGGACATCTCTAGAAAAAGAGTCTATCTTCGACTCTGCCGCACCATCGATGTCTACACTAAAACATTCATTTTTTGTCAAACTCTGCGCAAAATCATGCACCATGTCATGCATCTTACATTCATAAATGCTGCCATCACCCTCGTCTTTCTCAAAATCTTGGAAGAAAGAGCGAGCAGCTAAGGCTTCGAAGCACTCACGACCCATTACTTCCATCTCTTTATTCTGTGTTTTCCGAAGGAAACCTTGTGCCATCCACAGTTTGATCAAAGCATCCCTCCCAAATCTGAAGTCTTTTGGAAAGACTGCACAATATGAGAAACACCGTCTCATATCAGAGGGCAGGTCATTGTAGCTCAACCATAAAGGAGCCAAAATTTTGCTTTCAGCTTCTTCAATCTCCCAGACATGGCTGTTCAAGACACTTTCCCACTCTTCTTTTCTACTTTTAAAGCGCAAAAGACTTCCTAGACTCTTTGCAGCAAGAGGCAAGCCTTTACACTTGGCTGCGATTTTTCTACCAATATCTTCTAAATTTCCTCTCTCTCTACTATTTTTATCAAAAAATGCAAGCTGACTGAACAGTGACCAGCATTCATCTGTAGAGAGAAGTTCTAGTTCTAAAATGTCAGTGCGTGAGGATCCCATGCAGTTTGCAACATTCCTATTACGTGTGGTCACCAAAATACTACTTCCATGCAAACAACCACACGTGAGGGAGTTTCTCAGTTGCTCCCACTTTGTGGAATCTTCATTCCACACATCATCTAGGACAAGCAGGAATTTCTTTCCCCTAATCAATAGTTGTATGTTTTCTAGTAAAGTCTGCGATTCGATTAAACCTGAGGCAGGACTCTTAAGAGCTTCAAGGATTGCTTTTGCAATCTTTGTCTCATCAAAGGGATCTGATACACAAACCCATATTCTCTTATCAAAGTGGGTCTCCACCTCAGGATCATTATAAACTAGTTGAGCAAGGGTTGTCTTTCCTATCCCTCCCATCCCTACTAGAGAGATTGTACGGAGGGCTTGTCCTTGACTACTCTCACTCAACAACATTTCCTTCACCCTGCCTTTATCCGTTTCTCTACCTTTCACTTCTGCTGCATCTATAAAAGAAACAGTTTTCCGATGATCATGCTGTTTAATTACAACTTCAGATGATTTGAAGTGGAACCTATTTTTCTCAATCACAATGCCATCTATTCTTTCATTCAGTTCTTTAATCTTAAGAGCAATATCACGACGCAAAGCAACTTCTCTAAAACGAAAGCAAGAGAAGATCATGAAAGAGCATACCTTCCTTGTATTCTTGCGGGGATGCTCATTTAACTTGCTTTGCGATTTTGCAATTGCAGTGCCCCACTCATCCAAAACATCATCCATGTCGTAAGATACATCTTTGAGCTGATCTAACCAATGTTTGACCAACTGATCCTTCAACTGTCTTTCCTCTGCATCGGCAAACACAGCTTGGATGGCCTGGAAATTGCTGGTAAGCTTTTTAACCTCGTTCTCGACACCAACGACGAGCCTCACTTCTTGTTGCACTTCCTGAATAATGATTGAGCTCAGCTGCTCCAAGACTACGGAAACAAGAGCATCAGCCATATTCTTCAGAACTAAGGAATGGTTGAGAGAGGATAAAACTGAAATAAAAGGATAATAAATTTGGAAATGTGCAATATAGGGAGTAATTGATTGGTTGAGAAAAGAGGAGAAATAAAAAAAGGGAGATTATGATTTGATGGTGCTTCATATGATCTATTACTTGATGTATATATAGTGCATTGGAAAAGGCCATGGAATCTTAATTTCATGTACTGAAGCAAAAGAACTTTGCTTTCATGATGGTTTTTGGGATGCTCGTCTTCCCCAAGAAATGCCCTTTATTCTTTCCTTTCGAGTTATCAGTTGAAATATTCCTATATTTACAAGAGCAAGCTAATCGTTCTTTTTTTACTTTGGATGGGAATTCTTTTCCCCCTTGTAGTCATTAAAATTGCTTATGGAAGGTATCATGAACAATGGCCAACTTAAACCATTCAATTTATACATTCTTTCGGGACATTATAGTTCAAGCAAGAATCTGATGCATGTGCAACAGCCATGTACGTAAACTGAGAGAAGGGGAACACGGATGGAATCTGATGCAAACGCAAAACTCTCCAGCCTACAGTTTGTTCTATGGTTTCTGAAACAACGTATCACTTACTAGAATTTCTTTCTTTGAATGGGAACTTGTTCCGCCAACTTTGTTGTAAAACCCTTGGTGTTGATCAAATTCCTCCCATTTTATTATCATTACTTTTATTTGATCTGATTGATCTCTTGCATGACAAAGTTTTGGAGGTGGCATGAATGGGAGGATGAAAAGTTTTTGTAAGGTTTTGCTAGATAACAAATAAAGCAGTGAAGAGAAATCCTAGACCCAGCAAACCTCCCAAAAACCTGTAGGTTCCTGATTTTCTTCAATTAAGTAACTTGTTCGATTTAAAGAAAAAAAATAAATCATAATTCCAGTCTTCACCATTTCTTTCCGCACACAGCGGCCAAAGAGAGAACGGGACTAATACAAATAAAGCAATCAGTTAAATCCAAGGGCCACCAGCATCCTTGAAGCCTGGGGGGCCCTGGCATCCATCAATCCAATTCTTCCATCAAATCCAAGCTGTATCTACTATAAGGAAGGGAGATGAAAGATCCCGCGATGAATTGCTGATATATATCAATAGTCTATCAAAATCTTATATTCAAACTGACAAGCTCTCAGCAAAGCTAACGTGGAAATAGGGGCGGCAGCAATTTTGTGACAGAAGTATCAACATGAAGTCCAGAACCCACTCATACAAGGAGAACCAGAAAGTTAAGCTTTGAGCTTTGCCTTGTGATTTCAATATGCTGTCATTATTATTTCTAAAGAGCAAAATTCAAGTGAATAAACTCCTGTTTCATATGCAATCAATCAAACTGCAGGCAGGAACCTTCCTACCTCTAGCCTCCACCATTGTTTTCCTTATATCAGCAGCAACACCCCATCTATTCACCCCAGCATGAATGCTAGATAAAGCCACATATTGACCACAATGCTGTGGCTGCAATTCAAGTAACCTGCTTCCCACTTCATTTCCCAAATCAATAGCTCCATGAATCTTACAAGCACCTAAAAGTGCACCCAAAACTGAAGCATCTGGCTCGAAAGGCATCCTCCTTATAAATTCACTAGCTTCCCTCAATAATCCTGCCCTTCCCAAAAGATCAACAACACACCCATAATGCTCCATTATTGGCACCAGGCCAAACTCACCAGCCATTGATTGAAACAACTCCAGCCCAATCTCTACAAGCTTGGCACGAGCGCAAGCAGTAAGTACAGCAATAAAGGTGACCTCATTTGGACACAAACCTTCCCCTTTCATCTTTTTAAACATGTCCAGAGCTTGTTCTTCTCTACCATTGTTAGCAAGTGAAGAAATTATAGCATTCCAAGTACAAACCTTTTTAACCACCATTTTGTTGTAAACTCTAATGGCATTACTCAAACAACCCACTTTTCCATAAAAATCTACCAATGATGTCCCAATAAAAACAGTAACAAAAACCTCATTCCTTACTATAGACCCATGTATTTGCTTCCCTATAGAAAGGACCCCTCTTTCATCTAAATTAGCGCATGATGATAACACACTAACATATGTGGCCTCATTGGGTTTAACAAAACAACACTTTACATCATCATGCAACATCATCTCCCTAAACAGCCTAATTGCCTCACCAAGAAGTCCATTCTTTGCAAACCCATTAATAACACTAGTCCACGAGACTACATCTCTCTTAGGCATGCTTTTAAAGAGACAACAAGCAGAACCCATGTCACCATTCTTCGCATAAGCATCTAGCATTGCATTATATTCAACAATACATGGGTGCGAGATTTCATCAAACACCTTGCAGGCATTAAGTAAGTCACCAAACTGCGAATACATACCCAACAATGATGTTTGTATAAAGGGGTCATAAAGAACCCCACGATTGATAGCTTGGGTGTGAAGGGAAGTGCCTATAGAGAGGCAAGAATGTGTGGCTGCTTTGATTATGGAAGGGAAGGTGTGGCTGTTTGGTGGGGTTTGGCGGGCAAGCATGAGAGCGAAGAGGTGAAGAGTTTTTTGGTGTTGTCCGAAATTGAGGTAGGCTCTTATTAGAGTGTTGTAAAGAAGGGTAGTTTTCCATTTGGAGTTGTCTTTAGGGCATGTGTTTGGGTTATAAAGGAGGCCTTTGGCTGTTATGAGGGAATGGATTTGTTTGACTTGGTTTTGGTGTTTGATAAAATGCTGGAGAAGTTGGAGTAGAAGTTCAGGCGGGGGTGGCGGCATGGCATTACTACAAGTTATGGGTTTCAAAGTTTTTGAGACTGTAAATTGCCATAAATCTAATGATTGTGGTTTTTCTAAAGTTGCCTTCCATGCTATTAAAAATAAAATTTGTTCTACAATATCAAGTTTATATTACCCTGTCTGAATTTCAAGAAAAGCAAGTTAAACCAACTTAATTTTAAATTATTATTTTGAAGTTAAAACCAAGTTATTTTTGTATTAAAAAAAAATTGACTAACAGACTAACTGTATGCCAACTTCTATCAAGCCCTAAATAACGCAACAGGCATCAATGAAAGACTAAAAACACATAAAGCAAATGTATCAAAGTACGCTTGGATGTTTATAAAACTCCTCGTATAACCTTATAAATGATAGCTGTAAATGTCTTACAATTTCCTATTGACACGATTGTATTCAGTATAAATAATTTATGTATTTTTGGGCTGAGGTTATCATGGATAGCACAGTACATGTTGACAATGAGAAGAGTCCTTGTCTTCAGTTAATCAGAGGTCTCGCTATGCTTAACTCTTCGTCGGGTGCAGTTTCACTAAGAACTGAGAACTCGTCTGGTAGCGGAACATTTAGCTCTGAACAAACAAACTGAATAATTCTTCTAGTTGCAGTCCCGAGTGACATTTTGTTCAAGGTAACTGCAATTGCGAACCTGCTTTTAATATCACAAAAACCTGTGGATCCACCCATACCCGAGTGCCCAAATCCATAAAAGGATCCATCACTTGAACTAAATCTCCTAAAACCTAATCCGAATTTCCCATTTGGCAGTACTAGATTCCTGTACTCACCCACGCCCATGAACTCATCATGAATTCTGGGGTTATTAAAAATCCTGATGGCATTATTTTGGCGAGAGTTTTTGCTGGCTGCAAAGCCTTTGGGTGGACTAGAATCACTGCTGCTGCCACCAGCGCTATCATTAGCAAGCCTGGTATACCCATCACTGTTACTTTCTCCACCATCCTTGAAATCTTTACTGTGATTCATCTTGAGCTCATAACCATTTCCTTTCTTCTTTGAAGCAGAACCCTCTGCCTTACTCTTCTTACCTTTCTGCTTTTTGGAGGTAATCTCTGAAGAAAATTTGGGAATGTGTGGGTGGGTACCAAGGGGTGGCTTCGACAAAGAGGAATGAGGTGGCGGGACCAGGCCTCCATCAACAAGAGCTGCATAGTAGCGTGCAAGAGCACGAGCTGAGCAATGTCCATTAGCACCTGGTATAATGGCGCGACGAACGTTCAGCATGTTAAACAAAGCAGGCACTGCAGTTACTAGTTGGGAAATGTTCTCTGGCTGGAAGGTGGAGGGAAGTTCAGGACGACTAGCAATTTTTGAGAGCTTGCTAAAATCATCTTTATCTAATGTCAGACACGCAAGTCGAGATTCCACACCTGGAGGAGACACATGACAAGCATTAATGTGCCAAACATGAAAAAAAACTTTGAATTTACAATTTGCAGGAGAATGATAACTCTACCATGGAAGGAAGGACAGGCAGATAGTATGACCACTTGAAAAAAAAAAAAAGCAATTGCATGGGCAAATCTTTTGTAGTATTTCTGCTAGCAAAGCAAGAACATTGAATACACAGACTTTAACAGATACCTGGAGGAATTCCAACATATAGCTCGCCTTCAATGTTGAGAGGTCGAATTATTGCTTCTTCAAGGATCTCCTGAAATTTCTTCCCAGAGGCGTGCTGTTTCATTAAAGCACATTATTAAAATGCAGGACAAAACAAGCTCCCTCCGAAAAAAGATGCAGATCAGACATTCCAATCATAAAGCAATTCAAAGAAAAAAATGCGGACATCAGCTTCGTGGTTCTTTCATGTTCAAACACTTGAACATGGGATTGTACCTCGATTATTCCACCACAAAGCCAGCCAAAAGACAGATAGTGATACAACTGCTCTTGGCCAGGTTCAGTCTCAGGTGCTGACATAGCAATCCGTTTCAGACATTCATCCCAGTCAGCCATTAGCAAAGGATTTTCTTCTCTGAGGTTGGCCAGAGCATTTTGCAAACCAGATGTATGATTAAGAACATGGTGGACCTAAACAGAAAAAAAATAAGATAAGTGAGCATACAAAGGAGCTTCAGGTGGTAATCTGAAAGGTTTAGCAGGTCTAGGGAAATAAACTTTCACACCTTGATGAGATTCTTTCCGTTTGATCCAAACTCTGGCCAAATATTAGCAATATTTTCATTGAGGTTCAGTTTTCTGCAAGACAACATGCGACTTTTTGTGACCAACCACAAAACACATTTTGCATTAAGTTTGCCTTAAATTACTACATACTGGGCAGAATTACTCATGCTAAAAATGATATCCTATCTAAGAACCGGCAAGGAGCTCAAAAGAAAAATCATCCAGTCATATAACCAAAATGCTGACATAGTTCATGCAGGATAAACACCAGTGCTTGTGTCGATATTGTTTTTAGGAAGCAGATCATGCATTCAGTAATCCCAGTGAAAGCTTACAACTACATGAAAATTAATCCAAAACAAAACTACATACAAAAATAAATATTTTGCCCAGCATTTCAGTAAATGATAACACACAAAAGGCTTTGCTTTCATACAATTACTGCTACATACCCATTGTCAACAAGCCAATGTAACATTG